TGCATACCATGACGGCACTTTTCGTAACGTGGGCAGACAATCTCCACTTATCAGTAAACTTCTTCGCCGCGTCAATTTGCAGTTGCAGTCCCTCAGGGGTGTCCGACATACCAACAAAATCATCCGCAAACAGCATTCCTGACACCAACGTTTCCGTGTCCCCTACTTTTACTCCCTTCCGGACTGCCTCTACGACTTCCAACAGATCGTTGATGAACACCTGGAACAATGTTGGGGACAGCGTGCAACCTTGTGGGACCCCTTGCTCAATGTCGAAGAATTTAGAAAGTTCTCCGTCTAGCATGACCGCGCTTTTCGTACACTCTGTCATCTTCTTCAGCACTCTCCACATTTTCCCCTTGATCCCGTACTTGGATAATTGTTTCCACAGCCCATTTCTCCATACGGTATCGTATGCCTTTTTCACGTCCAGGAAGAAGCAGTGCGTCCGCTTTCCCGCCCTCTTTCTACCTTGGATGATTCTCCCTACCGTGAATGCGTGGTCTACGCACCCCCTCTTCTGTCGGAAACCTGCCTGGCCCTCACTAATGCTACGTTTCTTCTCCAATACTCCCACTATCCTATCGTTCAGCAGCTTACAAAACACTTTTCCTACTGTGTTCAACAGTGTGATACCCCTGTAGTTTCCTGGGTCAGTCTTGTCTCATTTCTTAAACAAGTTCACAACCACTCCTTCCCGCCATCTACTTGGCGCATACTCGTTTTTCCACACCCAGTTGTACAGCAGTACCATCAGCTGGATCATCCCCTTCCCCCCAAACTTCGTGAACTCGTTGACTATCCCATCCGCCCCTGCTGCTTTGTGGCACTGCAGCTTGTTCACACACGCCTCAACCTCGTCCTCAGTGAACTTCCTTTTCTAGTTCTACGTTCCCAACGTCTGCCTTTGATGTCTCTTCTTCTTTCTGGGCCCATGCGTCCACCTCCTTCTTAAACACTTGGTCAAAATCTTCATTCTCCGACGGCACTCCAAGTCTCTTGTAGTGTCCTGCTAGAACTTCCCTTTTTCCCTTCCCACTGCTGACTAGTCCACCGTTCACACCTCGCAATGTTGCTACCCCTGTATCCCCCCCTTGCGCAGTCTTTTTTACCATCCCACTAATCCCTTCCCACATCTGCTTGACGTTCCCCTCCAGGCCTCCGTTGGCCTTCTGCACTACTTCGTCCCAAATGCACTTTTCCTTCTTTTTCACTAGTCCCTTCACCTGTTTCCTCTTGGCCCTGTACTTTTCCCAACTCTCTTCAGACCCCTCACCCAGGTACTGCTTGAAGACTTCTCTACGTTCCCCTATTTCTTCTTTCAGCTCGTCATCCCACCACTTAACCGATACCCCACATCGTACCAACTTCTTTCCCACTACTCTCTCTGCCGTTTTGTTCACTATGGACTCCCATCCTTCAATCACGCTGTCCCCTGCTGCTTGTGCGTCTACCTTTCCGTCTTCGACGCTTCTCAGCAGTTTCCTGAAGGGTTCTACACTACCAGCCAATCCCTTCTGGAATTCATCGCGTGTCCCCTCGTCTCCCAAACGCTCTACTTTCCACCGGAACACTTTCCTCTTTTTCTTACTCTCCGTCTTGCTAGATCGGCCGATGTTTGCCCATATGAGGAAATGGTCGGTCGAACCTATATCTAT